GCTCTGATAGAGTGGTTTGCCACAGTTTGTGATTCTTAAGTACCCTTTGTTGTGCGTAGTCGTGTGCGCACAGTATCTTGCGCAGTACTGATCGATTATCCATAGCTGTTCGGTATTGCACGCACGCACAGGTGGTACATATGTTATACCCCACTCTAAGTGGACTAGCGTTGCTAGTGAGCTTGACGGTACACACATTGCTACATCTGCTCGAGTCGTGTACATATCATGAATTATTCCCTGGCGCCATAGTGAGGATGCGTCAAGTGAATAAGTATGATAAGATTATTACTAAGACTATGGATATGCCATTCAGCGAGAAGCGATGGAGAGTCCTGGGATTCATCAGCAGCTCGCGTGGTTTGGTGACGACTTCTCCTAACGATGATTACGGCCTATTTCGAAAGGCTAAGATTATTTGTGATAAAGAAGTCAAAGTTGTCCATGTTTCGAGACTGACTCACTGCAAGCCTGGTGAAGTTGATGTGCAGGACCTGAGGCGAGCCATGCGCCGCATGACTCGTGATAGTCCGCAGTGAGTACGTGATAGCTGGTTTGTCCTAGTTATTCGCTTAATTTTATAGTTCTTCATTCTGTGGCAGGAGGGCGAATGCTCTGATAGAGTGGTTTGCCACAGTTTGTGATTCTTAAGTACCCTTTGTTGTGCGTAGTCGTGTGCGCACAGTATCTTGCGCAGTACTGATCGATTATCCATAGCTGTTCGGTATTGCACGCACGCACAGGTGGTACATATGTTATACCCCACTCTAAGTGGACTAGCGTTGCTAGTGAGCTTGACGGTACACACATTGCTACACGAGCCAAGTGCCTACCCACATTGACGGAGAACATTCTCGGGAACTTCTGATGTCATCAGCATTGAAACATAACGGAACGAGAGGGTACTTTGACAGAAATCCCAAATCGCTTACTTTTTCAACGCATCAGTTGCCAGGGGTGCCCTAAGCTGAGAAAACTCGCAGTGAAGAATTATTATGGCTCGACGCCGGTCTCGGGTGGCCACATCGTTGAAGACAAACTCCTTGAGAGATTCCATATCATAGGGTGGGAAGTTCATTGCGTTCACAATATGTCCACCATTGTACTCGTATCTGGCCGCAACTACCGGGACTTCGAGCCAAGCACCCTTACGGGTAACGACAGTCAATTATGTAGATTGCGCCTTCCTCTGAGACTTGTTCTGATCGTACCAGTTCAGCCACCGTCTCAGTACTGACGTACCGAAGGAGTGACCCTGTGTAACCTGAATTCAAGCAGTAGTGAATGTACATTATTCAGATGTATACATTTGCTCGAGGGTGTAACGTTGATAGTTTGCAGAGACCGACAGGGCGTGGCTCCACGACTTGGTGCTTCATTTAATGTACCTCGAGGGGAGTCCGTAGGTCCAGCAACGTAGACAACACTAACTTTGGAAACGCTCAGAAGAGCGCATAAAGGCATCCATCTTCAATGATGGGTTGGAACACGGTAAGTGTGCCACTGATTTGTCGGCATCGATCAAGCTTGACACTGAGCAGGGAAAGCGGTCAATGCGTTGGCGGTGAAGGAGCATCAACACGTTACCCGTCAGCTCCTCAGCTTTCCCATGAAATGACCGTGTCGGGCAGTCGCTACTACTTGGCAATGTGAACCCGTTCGGATGCATTTAGCATGAGCAAGCTGACGTGCACTACATGTATATAGCGCTGTGAATAGACACAGTACACCAACGCCGTTTCACAAGGAGTCCACTCCAGCCGAGTTACAAAACACAGCTGGAATACCAGTCATACGGGTTTCAATTTACGTACGCAACAGGCACATGACCACGAGCAGATACCAGAGTCTGGGAGTAGATGCATCGTTCGAAGTGGTGGATCCTAGCATTGGTAGAAGCATCCACATTTAAAGACAAAGAATATAGTTGAGTTCAACAGCACTTGTAGTTTTGGGTAGACCACGAGCGATGATATGTTATGGAGACTTCCGCATTAGTTATGTCACAGCATCAGCGCCAATAGGACATGACCGGAGACTTGACAGTTAGTGTACGGGAGAGAGCAACTTATGCAAGCACGAGCTCGCCAATGGCGTATTTAACCAGCTGCATTGGACGCCCCGTGTTAGAGGGGCGTTCAAAGGCTGCTTGCATCGTGTGAGCAGCAAGTTGCATACTACGCTATGATGCCGAGTGTGTGGAGAAACATGCGCATGGTTGGCTACATGGGTTGGTGACCATATGGAAATTCTGAGGAAATTGCGGGAAATTCTTACTGTTTTCAGTACACTTTCACACATATCTGTAAATAAACTCCTAAAATCAATCAGGAAACCCCTGAGCTCAGCTGAGGGAAGCAAACATATATTCCAACACTGTCTTGCACGATGATGTCGTTCTCACACTATGGCTGTTCACTGGCCGGGGCCCTAACTCGATTCACTAATATGTGAGCCTCCTGGTGATTCACCCACGGTTGTAATTTCACGTCTTGAGATGATACAATGGTAAGAGAATATGGTCAAGATGATACACACTCTTCCGGCGAGCTCCCCCCTGATACGAATACAGCCTATTGTCTAGCTGAGATCGAGCATGGCCTCCCTTGCAGGAGTCTGCAGGACCTATGATCTCATCCATCAACCCATTCTCATCAGCTTACAAGCGCTGACCGGCATTAACCTCACACTCCTAGTATCAACAGAGAGGGAGTGATAGTAACGCAACACTAGAGGTGTTGAAAATGGTTAGGGTCGTGGTGGCACTAATGTACCAGAAATGGTCCATGCTCATGGGACTACTAAACTCTCTCTTCAACTGCCAGACAATACAAATGACGGAATAGTTGAACATGGTATCTGCCAAAAATAGCACTACAAAATCACCCACAAAGTCGGACATCACTTCATATCGCTGACATCATGTCTATATCCGGGCCATAGCGATAGCAGCATGGCCGCCCTCCCAAGTGGACTGTTCTTCAGCCTACATCGTCCCCAGCCTAGATAGAGCAGCCCAGTGCTGAGGTGCAGGGCTTGATGAGTGCCATAGATAGCCTCAACCTCGGCCGTTATCGTGTGAGTCGACTCGAAGACCTAGCACGCTCACTGAAGGGTCGCCTCAGTGTAGCCTCACAGCACCTTGTGCCGCACCCGATCGATCATTGCTGCCACGCGCGTGCAGCCAGTGCCAGCCATAACAGTCACCGCTGAGAGAAGGACGCTGAGTCTGAGAGTGGATGCATGTAGAGCCATAAAGAGCCCTCTTCTACCTGCAAGTTAACAGAGTTTTGGTATCAGGTCCACAACCATGTGGGGGATGGCTCGCTATCACTGAAGGGGACGTACCCTCAGGCAAACCCTCCTGAAGAGCAAGTGACAATGGTGAAGCCCTCCACAGCATACCTGCCAGGACTCCATCCTGAGCATCTTGTCCAACACGCCCAGTATAGTGTCTCGAACTCCGAGGTCCTCAGTGCCCATATTAGCCAGAGCCAGTCCTAGCATGCATCCCGCCTCCATGTAGATTCCGGCCTCAGCTTCCACAAATGCACTCGACTCGTCTTTCCCACCACAACCATCGACACAAGACGGCAACTCGGGAACCTCCCCTAGGACCATAGTGAGCGCCATAGCCACAGCAAACCAACAGTCGGGTCTTCGGCGACAGAGTTGATACCGAGTACGAGGCAACTGTAGGACCTCACAAATAGAGGCGTCTCGAGTGCCAAGGTATATGAGGCCCAAAGCGACAAACGCGGGCAGAGACGCATCCATGTCCATGCTGCAGGCTATGACCTCGTCCTTAAGGCTGCAAGGTAAGGGCCGGTCTGCAAAGGTGAGACCAAGAGCGACTCCCAGGGAGAGACCATAAGCTGGCCTCAAGCCAACACCACACTCATCCGATCCACCAGTGATGCTACCCAGATTACGCAGGTTCTTCAATAGGCAGGTCGCCAAAGTGACATGGCCAGAGTTATAATGCAGTAAACCAAGCGAGACCACACCACAGCACTCCAACAGCACTTGTACGGCACTACCTGTAGACTGCTTGCTCTGGCCCGACAAGGCAGGCGTATGAAGATAACACAGCTTACGAGCCTTCCCATATTCAGAGCCTATGTTGGAGGCCGACACCCCTAGTAGAACAGCACATATCACCGCACAGTTACCCATACCAAGTTCGACCAGCCAGTCATCTGGACGGAAAACGTCGGGCTTCATATAGCCCCGCAAGCCTAGGCCCAACAGAAGACCAGCCCTCCGAAAACTATTGTCATCTGCTGGTCTTCGACAGCTCATATTCCGTACAAACCACTCCCTGTCCGCTTTCCTTTCACACGGTGGCCTCATAGCAAGGCCAAAGGCAACACCGTTGTGGAATTCTGGCCAGTCCAGAGCAGGCATCAACGGCTGCGGCAATGTGAAGGTAGTCCGACTAGATGAGTATTTCCCTCGACTCGAGACCTCCTCCACATTGAAAAGGGGCCGCTCCTGTGTGTCGAAGACCATCGCCCCTCGACCAACACTCGCGGCAGCATTCTCCAATAGCAAAATGTTCAGCCATAATTGTTGATCCTAAGCACTAGCTCCTCCAAGAATTCATTACACACGGCCACACCTCTCTGGGTAGATGCTCATCTACTCCCTGTTTGCCGTTGATCTCGAACACCATCACGATAGGCTGATGACAACACAGCCCTGCTAGGGCCTTCCGCATAGGCCGTTCTTCCAGCACTGACAAGCGGACATTAGCCCTGTTGGTGAGTCTAATCGCCTACATCCTACACCATCCCTTTGCGCGGTATCGCAACATGAGGGGACTAGTAGTGCACTGATCGAGCTACTACTACTTCTCCAGGAGTTAGTTTCGGGCCTAATGCTCGAGCGATCAGCACTAAGGCGAACGCAGTCTATAACTATCCTACCTGGGTGGTATCTCATCCACTGTCACTTTAGGAGGGGACTGAGGGAGATGAAAAAGGTAAGAAGGGATAAGGCGGGGACAACTATTTAGATGTGCATGATGAAGAAGACCATTCCGCAGTGGAGCACGTGGAGTGTTAGAGGATACTACCACCGAGCCCCAACATGCAAGGCCATCGTCATCTTCATCAAACGCGAGTAGTCCCCCATCGTACACGAGCCGCCCAACGTCCATGGATGATGGCATTGACAGTACTACTACTACAACGTTATCCTCCCGCAATGTGGGAATTGACAACCTACTGAACACGAAGTATGCGGGGCTCCCTATCATATGCAGAAAAAAAAGCTGGACTCGGCCCTTTATGTGCACACTACCTGTAGGTATAGTACCATCAGTAGTGAAGGCGATTATACTACCCCGAATAGTAACTACGCAGACTATACTATAAACCTACTCAGTGGTTTTAAGGTATTGTCCGTCCACGTAGGCTCGACCACTCAACGTAGGCTCGGCTCAGGAGGTCACGACTGGGGATCCCTAGTAGGGAATCGCTACCGCGTGCTATCCTCAAGAACCACAGCGTGCTTGTAGGATCAATCAAAGTCTCGCACGAGGCTAGGGTCAACTGTCGCACAAGTGGTAAGAGTCGGCGAGTGTGCTTGGTCCCTCACCCCAATAGTCCAAGTACCCTAAGAGGAAGTCCTTGGTAACTGACAGATAGTGGACTTGGTCAGGAGGCGGACCGTCCGAGATGTGAGCCGCTCGTACCGCACCAGTAAATCGCGCATCTGCTTAGGGGGGGAGGGGCTGCGAGCCTTTGGTCCTCTCCACACCACCTAGTCGACTAACCCTCTTGATAATTTCATAGATATGTATAAATGTTCAGTTGAACTGGAGGATAACTGGAGCCAAAGCTGACGTCGATGCTTTTTTTCGGAGTATTAATCATAATTTCGTGGCGCGTGACGCAACTTCGAGAATGGCGGCGATAATGATATATGCCACGAGTTGCGATGACATGCGCGACGGAGTTCACCGACTTTGATGACCAATAGATATCTCGCCTGGGGGTTGAACCTGGGAGAACTCCGCGTTAGACCAAATCGTAGCAGAGGGACATGTAACCATGCATAGTGTAGGCAAACAAAAGGCGTGTGGGTAACATCGATGCAGTAACAGGGCGGTACACGATCAAATCAATGCTACGACGGACGATTCGGGATGACTTACTCTATCAGGAGTCGTCGAGGGATAGGAGACCGGACGTGGATTCGCAGCTTCCGCCACAATACACTACACGCGAGGCAACAGAGAACGAGAGCGCCTCTATCCCGGCATACAGGCGAGTCTAGGAGTAGTCAAGGACAACACTGTGCAATCTTATACATGAGATATGGGAAGAATCGTCAAGCGGAACATGGATTAGCTCACGTGACGCGAACGCAACACGAGCAGGCCCTCTGTAATATTGAAAATCCTTAATGGGAAGAACTCGATGGCTAAACCACAGTCACTGATACCGGTGAAGTTATGAAATTTATACGGGACGTGTTTCCCAGCTAGACTGGCGGAGATTCGCTGTTCGCAAAATCTTCAAGATAGAATCCTTGATTTGCGAGTAGTTTTAGTTTTCTAGTCTAGCATCTACGAATGAACCTGAATAATGAGATTCCTTGCTCAGTAAATGTTCGATCGAGGCCACCGTTACATTCATAATCGGCTTAGTGAGAAAGCAGCCCTTCGGATGACCATTCTTGACGAAGTCCTCGATTTCCTGTTGTCTGGCCAGAACTTGCTCGCAGCTGGTGAGCCTGAGGCAAGACGCCACTTTACCCCAGAGTCTATCTTACGAAGCACTCGGCGCTCGATAAGGGCCCACCTCTGATTGATGAGGCGGTCTTTGGTGCTCTCACTGAGAGCTCTCAGAGCCTGTATTTCGGACTCAAGATCACTTGATAGCCTCCTCATATCAAACCTGGGTTCTTCGTGATCACCCGAGACGTCATCTGCAAAATAGATAGCAAACTCCCAAGTGTAATCAGAGTTACCCTCCTCTTCCTTCTCATCATCATCATCATCATCATCATCATCATCCTCAGCCCCATTCGAAGAGTTCTTGATCGATGACCTCCTTTGAGCAAGCTCGTGAATCACAGTGTCTGACTCGTCCATAGACTGATGCCTAGCTAGGATAGCTTTAATGCCAGATATCCTGAGCATGAAGAGTATGTCAAGATCACATAAGAATCCGGCGAGTTCTCACCTGTGGTTGACCAACCTATCGTTAGTAGATTGTTGTTGCTTCTCGAGGGTGTCCAGTTCGGTAAGCAGTTCCAAACTCCTCCTTCGCAGGTCGAATGGCGGATCAGAAGGCTCGCTAGCTGAAGAGGATACGAATAGTTTGATGGGATTAACTATACCTACTTACCGCCATGTGCCGAGCTTGCTGTGGAGGACGAACAGGTTCGATGCAGCTGGTCCTTGAGGAGCCTATTCTCTTGCTGGAGGTGTAGGATAGCACGCCGCATGCTTTCCAGCTGGTTGTTGGTAGCTGTTTGATCAGCCATAGAGCCACAGGAAACAACCCTAATACCGACACCGCAGCTAGCAGCATTTCTCATGCACTAACATGTGTACGTGTGCACTAGATCCCCTGCACGCACGCGCATATGATTCGCCACCACTTGAAGAAAGACCTCAGGTGTCACCTGACAGGTGAGGAGTCCTAACACCTTCGAACGACGACTAACGCAGCTCGGCTATGCTCAAACATCATAAGTATGCCCTAAGCATTGGTAATATATCAGTTACACCCCACTAAACTGTCCATATCCAATCTACACCCCAGAGTGCGTGAAAGTCGCCGTCACCTTCATGATCATGTCGACGTTCGAGACGTCCAAGTCTCGATGGAATATCCGGCAGACATCATTCTCCGTCAACCGGTCATACCTACTCAAAGGAGCTATAAGATAGTGTCAATGGTGCCTACGTGTCTTGATCGAAACAGATGATATATCCGCCGAGTTCCGCACACGCTATGTGCAGTCCACCACCTTCTGGTGCATGCTCATCGATAAAACTCATCATCTGCGGCTGCCGAGGTGTGACGAAGGCGACTTCCCCTCTACAAAGGAGATCCAGGGTTGGAATACGTGTTCGCTTTCCTCAGCTGAGCTCACGAGTTTCCACACTATTCATAGAAGTTCACACACAAAGTACGATACGAGTATAATAGAGAAAACGGCGAAAATTTCCTCAGAATTTCCATGTTGTCACTAACACGTCACGTGTTACACGTGTGCATATTTTCCCACACTGAAGGGGTCCCCGATCCCTCGACGGCAAATGGGGTCACCTTTGGCAAATGAGTATGTTGTGTGGTATGTCTAGTTCCAACAGTACTGATACGACAGACCACAACCCAGTCGCCATCGGATTCTCGCTGTCTCCTTCGAGGAGGGTTTTTAGGCGGAAAGTGAAGGCCTGTTGAATGTACCGGGAAATCATGAAGAAGCCGCTCCCATCGCGCCTCACAGGATAATCTAATTCTTCAAGCTGGAGTGATGCCGTGGTAGCGAGAATACGCTCGGGCTCGGCCATTTCGATCGGCATACGACCATAAGGATGACTGTACAGCGGAATCATGCGCCCTCCAGAGTCCAGAACACGCTCTGCTGTGTCGAGTGATACTGAAGTGGGGTAAGTCCTGCCAATAGATAGCAAGCAGGCAACTGACCGGTGGAGGAGTCGAGATCCTGCCGCCCCGATGGCCAGAAAACATGGAAGTGCAGATGATTCACGCTTGCCCAGGCTCCTAGAGAGTTGAACCTGATTCCTGTAAACTGTGAGCCGTGAAGTGTAGATGCGCCCAGGAGTCCTACATCACTTTCATATCGCCTCTATCAGCATCTGAGGCCCGTGCAAAAGCTACAGCGAGCTTCAGCGCATCCAGGGAGAGAACCTGCGGCCTATGAGAAGGCTCACTTGCCAGACGGTGGCAGCCTCCCAAGTCACCTGCAGGCCTTGTGATCCGGACATAAAAGGCAATGACCGTACGCGAGAGGGGATACATTAACGAGAAGAGCGTGAGCTCCGACACCGAAAGTCCCTGACCTAGGATATGGACGAAAGCCACTAGCAGGGAACTTACCTATGATTTCATCGTCACGGACGTGGGTGAAATTGAAGTCCTCCACAGCGAAGGGACGCTGAGTTAAACACTCGCACGTAGCCCGTTCTCTGTTTCCTTCATGCTTCGTCTTCCGTTTCCTGTCAGTCCGCAAGAGATGGATGCCCTTGAAGAAGTGTCGCGAGCCACCGATCGAACTTACCTACAATGATACCATCCCTCGTCTGGAGAGCATATATCAGAGCAAGCGTATCCTTCCACTAGTGTGATAAGAGCGATAAAGACCCCAGCTCTGTACTGCTGCATTCGAAAGGATGTCAATTGAACTCAGAATTTCGCTATGCTACTTCATACTGGTTCATATTCCATTCGAGTGGCTATGGCACTTACTCGATATCCTGCCAAGGTTGACCTGAATGGTCCCGTCTTATCCTGGGCCAGTTCATCCCAGATCCGCAGTATTCTGTTCTGCCATCCATCATCGAAGTTGAGCTCGGCTGACATGCAGGGCCGGACCATCACTACTTATTCCTCTCAAGACTAGCTGCTGTCCACCAACGGCGAGTAGAAAATAACCATACTACGCGTTGTGGCGAGGAATATTTTCGAGCTGGCAATATTATCTGGCTGAACACATGGAGAGCTGCGGCGCGCCGGCTCTATCCTCTGTGAGAGACGCATAGTAGGGGAGTGGTCCCTTGGAGTTCTCAGAGGGTATGGCTATGCGATCCCCACAGTGTAGTGAATTAAGCCGAACCCAGTATACTTGTAGTAGATAGAAGTAGTAGGTTTATGAGTACCACTTACATTGCAAAATCCTATATATAAGTGCCCTAGCGTCACGCTGAAATGACACAGCTAGAACAAAATTCGGAGACAGATATTCGCAAAACAGGGACGATCTCTACACAGTGTCCTTCTGAAGGCCACATCTTTCGGGGTTCTCCAGAGCGAGACTTTCACTCGCTGGTTGGTAAATGCGTGAAAAAAAACGCGAGGCATAAACTGAATAACATCTGAATGCTCTCTGGTCATGTTCGATCTTAGATTGGCGTTCCTACCTCCTCGATAAAGTACTGCACAGACGCTCGAGCGCCGCTCTCCATACCGTTGGTAGGCATTAACGTGAAGCACAGCGCGAGTAACCAACTCGGAAGGTCATATATACTCCTTGGAAAGCTTACGGTATCATTAACGTTTGTTCGGCTCCAGGACCGACACCTTCACATTCCCTCTTAGTGCTTCTCTAGAAGATCCAGACCCTTCTTCCCGGATTCATGGATTCTGATTCACTAGAGTTCTTAACTACTACCATTACGACGCCATTTGAGTACTGTACAACGCAATAAAGTGCAGATAACAACAACAGCAATCAATGAGAATAGGCAACCACTTGCAACATGATCAAAGAGCGGCGTCCTCAGCCCGAGTTGAAGCGAAGCGATCGATCCCAGGCAGGCCATGAATCAAGCTCGCCTATGCGGCTCAAATTCTTCCGAGGCGGAGGTACTACACCTCTGAGTTGCTCCAGCTCCTTCACACACAAATGCTGCGAAGAACAGTACGCACGCACGCAGTAATTACCAACCATACACTCAACAGCTTGGGTAAAGCGCCTTCCTTAGCTTCTCTTCGTGCTCTTGACCGCCGCTTCCGAACTTGGCCGTGTGCATAAGGATTACTTGGGATCAAGGACTTGCCGCCCGTGCCTTTTCATAGAAGTAGGATCGGAGTCTCACTAGGTAGCGTATTACGAGCGTTAGACGTATCGACTAACTTAACTCGTCCACTCCTCTCGGACATCTTGAAGCAGCTGATGGTCAGAGGCTTCGGCTCCTGGGCCTTGTACGTACAGTCAAAGTCCTCCCCACCACTAGAGAACCTGTCAAGCCATGCAGCGGTAGAACTCTTAACTCGAGCAGCAGCGATGAGACGCTCTCCTATACCTACTACTACTACCAATTGCCTTCCTTCTTCGTGGAATTCAGCAGAGGCTTGCTGCACTGCCTTTTAAGATCTTTGGTGACGACTTCGTTGAAAATTAACCCACCCAGATTAGACAGTACGTTGACGTTGGACATCCTTACACGACAAGCTGATTAGAACGGCAAGACTAACAACGAGATTGCATCTGGTCATACAAGCGATTGCTGAACCCCCGAGAGAATGACGAATAAGCTAAGCATTTGTCGATATATAATAACTGTATTCGCCCGATGCGTAAGTGTTACTATCTTGCTTCGAGACGGCTAATGAAGGGCCACCAAACAACACACGACTATAGCCGTCGAGACTTCCTACAGATTTTCTAACACGTGGCCATGAGGAAACAAGGCAGCTGAAAAAATACCGTTCGATAGCGCATCCGAGGCCATCCCAGACTGCCAGAGAGCGGCACTGCCGGAGTCCTCATGTGGGGTTATCCCTGTCTCCGGGGCCTGGATCAACGATGCAACACTTCAGCAAACAGAGTGGGAACCAGCTGCTGAAAATACCGGCGGTATTTTCAGGTAATATGTCACTAAGGCGTAATAGAAATCAAGTCAGTTGGAGACTCGTGTGATTGGGAAAATCTTTCAATCACGAGCGGCATTACCCCTCCGAGTCGCCTCGGCATCGGACACGCTAAAGCATTCAATTTAACCCGCACTGTCCACAGTATCAGTATCCTATGCGCTGAGCTAAAAGGAGAGTCACCGGAATAGTATTGAAAGATATGATATGATCCTCAGAAATTTGACTAGATGACAATCTAACAGTAGCGAAACTAGGGTATTACATCATCTGCTGAGGAGGATAGCATGGGCGAGTCCTTCTCATGATCGACTACATTGGTATTTAACATGATCGACTACAAATGTTTTTAATGGTGGAATAAAGGTTGGGAAGATGTATACTATTATATGTTTCCAATGTACAATCTGAGAGGATTCTACCCTATTACGTGGGAAAATGGCCAGACGCTACTAACAAGTGTAAAACTATGGTGTAATGCCCCGCTGCATCGGTCAACTCTCTTGTCGACGATGTGGAAACTCGCGCATCATATTCGTACACTGCATCGACGGTGCCCTATATAAGGAATGTTACTACCAACATTAGCTTGAGGATGGTTGCGGGAATCATGGAATCGATATTCTCGTATCATGATGATGTAGTAGTTGAGTAAGTGTAAGGTGACGCAAGTCTACAAGTATCTGAATTTGATCCGCTGGACGTCATTCGTCTAGTACTCTTGCTGATCTCTTCAGAATCCGACAGTGCCATATCTTACTGATACGGTACTCGTATGATAGTGGATAAAAACCATGTAGAGACTACGGCGTCTCCACTACTTTCGATCAATCCACATAGCTAACAAAGCCGGGATACTCTCATGTACTGATTGCCTTGTTCGACTCTATTCAATAGATTACTACGGAATAGATTTAGGTTCGGTAAAGCCTATCGAGCCTTGTAGCCGTAGACCGCGAGTCCTGGTGCTGGCCATGCTTTAGAAAGGTCGTCGGCCTTGACCCAGGCCCTCGGGGTATGCGCCGTAGATTTCTTCCTCTCGCGGTAGCACGCATATCTGGCAAATCCACCACCAATGTCTCTCCAGAAAACATCATCCAAGACAACCCTCGTACACCCCGACATATACCAGTACTATCTTTTCATAATCCTGGCTTTCAAAGAGAACTGGTACCCAACTCGAATTTCGAGCAACCCCTACTACCCAAACACAAAACAATGAATGTTTGCAGCACATAGCGACAGTATTGACAATATTCATCATAGCTGCTTTTGGCAGTCGTTCTCATCGCGGAAATAATAACACTTATGCGACGTAAAAGAAGGCCACGCCATCACCACCCCCGTGGGCGACTATCATCGCAGGAGTAGCTCAAGTGCAAACCATTGCAACGGTAAGTAGAGAAAAATAAACCAGTATAATTTTAGTGTTGGTAGTAATGAGTACAGCAGCATTGCAGAGGATTGCATTCAAGTGTTGATACTCCTGGTAGTAGTGATGTCGCGGAAGGTGAAGTCTAGTTAACATACCTCAGTCGTTACGGATCTACATAGCCTGCTTCACTATTGCTGCTGAGTGTCATCAGCTGCTGCTGCTACAGCAGAGGTATCCTTAGGGGCCTCGGCCTCGGTGGTTTCAGCGGCCTAAATTGACATCACTATTTACTAACGATAACTCATCAAGGCAATACATGAGGAGGTCCTAGCCAGCGCACTCTGTGACCGTCGTCCCACTCGCCTTCTCGAACCTGAACCGGAACTTCAACAGTTTTGGGTATCACAAGAAATTACCTCTCCCTTAGCCGTTCGATAGATGCCACGTCCATTCTGCTTGCCGGCCTTCCAGCCTCCTTCATATCTTAGCGAGGAAGAGCCAACATGAAAGAACCAACAATGATAGTCACTAACCTTACCGGCGCCCATCCGGCCATGTGAATACGCCTTGACCGTCCTTCTGGTCATTCACGTACTGTCCTTCATATCTAACATGTGAGTAGTGCCAAGGTAAAGATACTCACAATCAGAGTGATGCTACTTCCGTCCATCGACCCAGATGAATGTTCCCTTGCCGTGCATACGATTGTCTTTCCATTCACCTTCATACTTGCGGCCATCACCTTACGAACAACATCGTAGGTTTGCCTCAAGCGATAGTTATAGTACCCCAACTATAGGTTCCATAGCCTTCTATGTCATTGTTTACAAAAGAGCCCTCATAAACAGAGTTATCCGTCCAGGAGAATCGTCCATGGCCATCCTAAAGAGTACACAGTAAAACCGATAGTAGCAACCTAATTCACCAACCTTCTTGCCGTTCTTGTACTCTCCTTCATACGTAGCTCCATCAGGCCAGTCCTCACGACCAAAGCCATCTTGCTTATCATCTTTCCCCTACCGGTAGCGTTCCTTCGACCACACCACTGGTTCCGTCATCTATGTCTACAACTGCATCAAGGACAGCTCCAAGCAGCCGGAACAATGATGCCGGAAGCAATCAATCGGCGGTAAGGACCAGAGCAGGCCGATGGATAAGGCCGCCCAGAAGATTCGGGTTCTAACAATGTTGACACTCTCTGTTGCTACTGTTTTTGTCCGCTGACTTTTGTGAGAGGGGAATCTGCAATATCACACAAGTAAACACAAAGCTTTTTCCCCGTCCCAGACCTTCCTAGCTGTATTCGTTTTGCATCTTTATCTTCCCCCTGAGGATTATTTACCTCTGGTCGAGTTACATGATAGTGCATATATGTTGAACTGAGAACGAAACCACTTGAGCAATGCGGGTCCGTGTTTCTTCAGCACAACGGCTGAAGAGGAACCGACGGTTGTGATGATGATCGGCACCAAAGTCTCCTCTAAATAAGTATGGAAAGCCATCGGAGGCTTACCTGTAGGGCCGATGGCATAACAAGCGGCACATTTGTCCAGCCAAGTCAATTGATCCCTGCTCGGAGCCGAAGCACCAGCGGCTTCTCGGTCAACCGACGGGGGAGAAGCTGCTATTTCGTCTTATGGATCTGAGAGAATCATTCTGCTTCAGTGAAGCAAGAGCGAGGTGATCGTACAAGTCGCAGTGACTGAGCGCAGGTTTTCTTTGAACGGCGGGTCTGTAGCCCACTGGAACACTTTATCGAATACTTCAGACGGTAAATCGGCATATTCATTGAGGCCGACCTCGTGAGTTGTATCGTCTGAATAATGAGCATGAAAGAACAGAAGCTTGTATCGCTCACCACTCGCTCTCAATTCCTCAATCTCTATCACGCTTTGTGAAAAAGGAGCCTTTGCAACTTGGTACTGCTCATTCGTCTCAAAAATTGCGATAGGCGATGGATGAGCTAGAGGCTGAAGGGAACGGAGCATCTCACCCTCTCATGAAGTCTTGGAAGGCCTGGTCGATATTCACCAGTTGATCATCTCGTCCCGATCCTGTGACGATAGTCTGAGCCATAACGATGAGGTGAAGAGTCCCGGCGGTGAACCACATGATAGGGATTTGCTGATCGGTTAGAGGCAAGAGGATGCTTTCCGAAGTACGGGGGAATATATTTCGCTTATGGCATCTTTTTCCGTAACGCTTTCCGTCACGGAAATTCCGTGACGCCCCTACGTGCGTTCCTCACAGG